GGGGGGGGGGGGGGGGGGGGGCGTAAGAGTTAAATGATTTATACTCATTCACGTAGATATAAATTTAACTGAAGTTCTATTGAGCTATTTGATTCTTTGTTTATTTAAAGTGAAACATCATCGAAAACAAAAGCTGCTTATTGATATTATTTGCAATTATAATTCTTAGTTCGTCAGTATTCACTAGTTTACTTTAATGTATTATCTTCTTTCTTTCATGTAAATAAGTTAATTAATTCAACTGAACTGATTCAGTGAGATGGTGGACTGACAATGAATTGCTGCAGATTAGCAAATGGATCCAAGCTTATCAGACAAACGTCTTCTATGAGTTATATTTATGTTCAAAACTGATATCTAATCTATAACTTTAGGCTGAGCTTCCTGTAGTTATCTTGCATTTTACCAGAATTGCCACATTGAGATCACTTGATATTACCTTGTGAGTTTGAACTAATTTTTTCTCATGAAGTTTTTTTTTTTTTTTTTTTTTTTTTTTTTTTTTTTTTTTTTTTTGGACCAGTAACCGCCTTCCGCCATNCCCTCAGGAGTATCCCATCTTGGGTCTCAACCTTTTGAGGCTTCTTGTACAGAACAGAATTGCTGAATTTCATACTGAACTTGAACTTCTCTCCACCTCTGCTCTGGAGAACCCATGCATTAAACATGCTGTAGAGCTGGAGCAATCTTTCATGGAAGGGGCTTACAACCGTGTATTGAGTGCTCGACAGACAGTGCCACATGAAACTTTTGGTTATTTTATGGACCTCCTTGCAAAGACTGTAAGGTAACTCATCTAAATAAGGTGTCTAAGTAATATAGTGATAGATGAGAAATCCCACCTCCTTCGAAGTGTTTGCCGAATTCTCTCTTACTCTCTCTTCTTACTTGGGGTCACTGACAAGTAGCAGTTCCATTTCATTCTTAGTTTCTATTCATAGTTTGCGTCTTTTTTGCCACTTCCAGGGATGAAATAGCCGGTTGCAGTGAAAAGGCATATGATTATCTTTCAATAAGTAATGCCCGCCAAATGCTGCTGTTTTCCTCTGACCAGGAACTTTTGGAATATGTCAAGGAGGTAACCTCTGTTAAGTCTGTTGGATGGTATCTAGACATCGATAATCTACGTAATCACTAAAATGTTTTAGGTTAGACCAAAGTTTTCTTTTTTCACTGAACTGCGAAACATTTACCATGATGCGGTGCATATAATCCATTGAACCGATCTGCAGTATGTTGAGTGCCACCCTGGCTATCTAAGGGGATGATCATGAGTTTATAAGTAAGGAATACATTTTCATTGGTATGAGGTCTTTTGGGAAAACGAAAACTAAAACCATTAGAGCTTATGCTCAAAGTGGACAATATCATGTCAGATTATGAAGGGTCCGTGGTTCCTAACACAGTATGCAGGTTAGGAGTAGTTTCCATTGGAGGGTTTGCACCTGTTGATGGAAATCTTATGTTTCAATGCAGGAGCATCCCGAGTGGGAGATAACGAACGGCATCTTATATTTCCAGAAGGTGAAAGAATCTGCACCTTGCAAGGAAATTCCTTCTCTTCAACTTATCAACCAAACACTCAGTTACGCAAGGGAGTTGGAGCGGATTGTATGAACCAAGCTAGCAGCTTCTCAGAATTGTCATCTGCTGATTTACAACATGCCAAGGTTTTATGATTCTCCCTCCCCTCTCTTATGATCATTATGGGGTTTTTTTTTTCTTTTTCCAAACAAAGTAATTTGTTCGTTGACATCGACTCAGATTTGCATCAAATTATCTTGGTATCTTCATTAACATAAGATGACTGTTCATGCATTTTTCTTTTCCAAGTGTTTGTTTACAATTACATATCCTCGGCATCTAGTTAGATTCCAACGTCAAGGAAGTCGTTATCGTTTGATTATTCCTATGGTATTAAAACATGGCTTCAAACATTACTTTGAAGCTCAAGTTTACAAAATGGGTTTCCATGCATTCGAATCTAATAAAATTGTGATTCAAATACTAAGGTGTTTGGAATTGCAGAGCAGAGTTGCTTCAGGTTCGGAAATTTTTGAAGCGATGAAAAAATGAAATAATTAGAGGAGAAAGGTACGTTATAATATTTTAAACTTTTTAGCCATGTTCCATTGACCTGGGATTTATTAATTTTTAGATTAGTTATGATTTCAGAACTTCTATTAGATTAACTATTTTATTTTTAGTTTTCTTTCAAAATTATACTTTTTTTTAAAAAATAAAATTTGTCTATTAGATTATATAACAAATGAACCACTTGAATGGATTTATAACACTGTTTCGTACTGTACTTTTCTTCTTTTATTCTATTATCCATTTGTATTCTTTTACTCAAATTAATGAAAATTGGGATATCATTAAAGGAAAAAGTAAGTCAAAGGACAATTATAAATATATATTACAAAAAAAAAAAAAAAAAAAAAAAAAAAAAAAAAAAAAAAAAAAAAAAAAAAAAAAAA